CTGAGCTGGACAAAGATGAACTAAATGTTAGTTTTATGTTGTAATCCTGCATCAGGATGCAGTTTAACCACCAACTGGGATCATGACTGCATTTCTTTACCCAGGCAGCTCGGCATGTCTGCGCTCCACCTGCCCTGGGACGTGCACTCGAAGCTGGACGTCCCATTCAGCAGAAATCCCTCGTCGCAAGTTTCTGTGCACCGAGAACCGAAACTGAAGGGAGCATTTGGGTCGGAGCAGGAGAGGGAGCCGTGACGAGGAGACTGAACTGGATTACACGTCTTAGCTTGAAGAGAGACAGAAAAAGAAGCAGATGATCAACAGACAGTCAAAGTCAGACTGTGTGGTTTGTGCACACTTCATACGTACTGGCCATACCTCTGCAGTCAGGAGGTGCATGACTCCAGGTGGCCTGAGCAGAACACGTCGTCACGTTTGCACCAATCAGATCAAATCCGTCTTCACAGTGCACGGTGCATGTCGAGCCATAGCTGTGCTCCGCTGCTGGGTCTTTGCATTGCACATGTGCATGAAGTGGAGGCTTCAGACGGCTGCACTGCACCGCTGGGGAAGAACAAACACGACTGTTCATCAGCAGGGTGTGTGTTTAGACTGAGAACGCCTCTTTTGCTTTGAAATAAGACCACGTGAGCCACCTGTGCACGTCGGTGTAGCGTTGCTCCAGCGTCCCGACGCCAGACAGGTGAGCGCCTCGTCTCCAGTCAGGTAGAATCCCTCCCGACAGGTGAAGTCACACCGAGAGCCGAAGGAAAAAGGCTCCACGGCGTCCACACATGTCACGCTTCCCGTAGCAGGAGAAATAATGGCGGGGCACTTTATCACTGCAGTGGGACGCAGATATCAGTCACACAGAGGCCCCACAGTGCAGATCAATGAGTCCACAGACAGCCAGGCGGGGTCTGGATAATGGCGCTGACATCATTTACAGCAGAGGAAAACAGCCGCTGTTTGTCTGGTGCACGCATGAATGAGTGTGAAGCAAAGCGATAACAGGTGTGACCCGAACCTGATCCGACCCACGGTCCAGACAGGAAGTGACCGCGCTCTGAGGCACGCTGTGTTTTATTAAAAGGCTGCAGTCGGGCTCAGCAGCCTTCACGTCTGGACAAACATGGACCCTCAGATCCAGACCAGACCCCTTAATGTACAATTTTGTGCTTTTTAATTTTAATTTTTGTTATTTCTTTCCAGCAATTTTGAGCCTCACATCTTCACAAGAACAGGCGACAAACACGTGAACGTTTCAAGGACCGAAGACAGATTTAAGCTCTGTTTCAAATCTGCAACCAAATCAAGTTCATGTTGGCTCCAGGAGTCACGACTTCCCTGTTCCCAAACCTGAAGGTGAACATGATGGGATGCTGTAAAGCCAAGCGGCTCCAGTCTGTGATCTATGGCATAACAACACAGGATGTGTCGTCTGTTTAAAACAAAGAGGAAAAGTGCATTCTGGGTCATGTATCAGCAGGTGCAGTCGGTGGTTGGTCAGAACAACTTATACCAGGTGAAAGGCCTCATGGTTCCCTACAGGTTGGTACCTGGCTCACCTTCTGGACATGATTCTGCTCATGACAATAATATTCCAGTCAGACTTTAGGGAGCATTAGATCTGGATGAACTGTCCTCCCACCGCCTGCTCAGAGGGAATCCAAAGGCGGTTCTGGATCGTTGACTTCTCGGTTTAATAATAATAGCTATTGATGCATGATATTAACATGTCTGGCCGATACCGACACCGATATTAGGATTTCTGATGTCGCTGATAGCCGATAGCACCGATGTCGATGTTTGAGTTTTGTTGCCGCTGAAGAGTGAGTGAGCACTGTGAGAAGGTGGAGACTGTCCACCAGAAGCCCAGTGAGACCACCGAGTCCGCTGTGCTGCCTAACAAAGGCAGAGCATGCTTAAACATCTTTAACGCTCAGTCCAGGAACATTTACGTGAAACAGCAGCGACACCAAACGTAGAGACGAAGGCGCTGACGTCAGACAATCAGGGCGGGGCAGAGGGGTTAGACGGGGACCCAGCCGGTACCGACGTGGTCGCCGATGTATCGTGCATCCCTAATAATAATACTTCTTATTTGAAATGCACTTTTCATTTGAACAACATCTCAAAGTGCTACATTAGAGATTTAAGGACAGACGTCTCCTCCTTGCTGCTGGGAGACCACATGCTGTGAACGGCGCTGTACAAAGGAACTGAAACTGAATGAAATCATCTCATTTTGAAACCATTTGAAGCGTTAAACCCATGTGGTCTACTTTCATTCACATTCAGAGGGAAGGACACTGCACCTGTGCATGCTGGGACGCTGGCCGTCCACTGGCCGCTGTGGTCGCAGTGCATCCGGGCGTCTCCAGTGAGCTCGTAGCCGTCATCACACCTGAACTCACAGGTGGAGTTGTAGCTGTAGGGCGCCACCGGGTGGCTGCAGGTCATTCTTCCGCCGCTGAAGCTGGTGTGGTTCAGAACTGGACACTGTCCAGCTGTGACAGGCAGTGAAAAAGGGTTTCCTGGTAACTCTGACATCTGAAACAACAACTTGTCGGACACTGCTGGCGTGCTGTTGGTTCACCTTGACACAGAGGAGCAGCTCGGCTCCACCGTCCACCAGCTTGGCACAGCAGCTGGGACTCTCCGACCAACCGGAAGCCGAGTTCGCAGCCGAAAAAGCAGGAAGAGTTGAAACGACTGGAACCAAAGGGGTGGAAGCAGCGCTGAAACCCGTGTGCTGGATCTGGCAGAGGTTTGCATGCAGTCGCTGAAGAGAAACCAACGAAAGAACGTTATTTAATTCCCTCAGAGGTCACGGCTCTTATTAAGATGATAAAAATACTGTGAGCGCTTTACAACAGGAGAGAGAACAACGTGAGAGTCACTGAGGAACTGAACCTCAGAATGAATCATGAGCGAGTACACTGGAAAAAAAACTGTTCTGAAGAAAAAAACGCTGGAAGTTTGGCAGCAAGGACGCCAGAACATCTGATGGACAATGGAGGAGGACTGTAATGTTCCAAAATAATGTCAAATGTCTATAAAATAAATGTGTTTAAGCTGATATAAATGGAGAGAAACGGTATCGTTTCACGGTGATTTTATTATTTGTCATCTGTAATTTAACAAAACAATTTACATCTATAAGAGAAACATTTCAGTCATTCATATATTTAATCTTTCTTTTAAATAACAGCAATTAGCTTTTAAATAAAAGTTTCACGGATTTAAATTCAGTAAAAAGTTTCATAAAAATCTAGACTTTAGTTCTTGTCTGTGCTTTTACTGCTTCATGTGTATTTTATTTTATAAAACTGGGAAAAGCTTTTGAAACAACCTGCATCGGTGAACAAACGTGCGGCTGTAGTTCCTGAACAGCTGAATCAAAGAGACACGCCTTGATTCTTCATTTGTCTTTAGTCGATTAATTAATGGTGGTGTTGACACTTCCTGTAACATCCATACACACTGTAACCGGGGATTGATGACGGTAGTTTGGAGAAGCTTTGTTTGCCTCTTTTATTTGCCTTCAAGGGATCAGATGATTAATTAAAGCTTCGTCAGCGTCGCGTCTGTCGGTCAGTTTTCTAGTCATTCTTCAGTATTTGGTCTTTAAGTCTGAGAGTTTCAGGAACTACTCATTCACATGTGGACTCATTATTAGGTTGTTCCTGATTCGTTCCTGGCTCAGCCATGCTGGAGCAGCAGGAGCACCAGTTGGACTAAAGCTGAAAGCCTTTGCTCACCCTCATCACATCGTGGGCCAAAGAAACCCGGATGGCACCTGCAGGTGAAGCTGCCGACAGTCTCCACGCAGTCTGCATGAGCGCTGCACGAGTCCTGCATGCAAGAGTCTGCAAACAGAAACAGATCTGAGGTGATGCAGTCGTCCTCAGGTGTTCACAGCCTCCCGTTAAAGACGGAAACAACAGCTGCAGTCACTGGAATCAACTGAAACTGACTGAAGTGATAATAAACAAAAATGTGACGAATATCATGACTTTGAATTGTGGTTCAATAGAAATGTATTAAAAAAAAAAGAAAAACAACAACCAGCCTGATGGAGCCGTGAACTAACATCTAACTGAACAACCCTCTGAGCCAATCACTGCCATCAGGTGTTTCCTGTAGCTCTCAGTCAGACTTCTGCACCTGTTGACAGGTGTTCTGGTCCACTGCTCATCAGCAAAGGCCTCTCATTGGTCCACTGCTCATCAGCAAAGGCCTCTCATTGGTCCGCTGCTCATCAGCAAAGGCCTCTCATTGGTCCAGGACAGTTTATTGTTTTAATTATTCTTTTCAACCACAATTCAAAAGCAACGTCTTATTTCACTAAATTATAATTTAGCACATTTTTATTTATTCTAATTTTTCCAGTTTCTAGTCATTAGTTGTGAGTTCTGCCTTTTCTTTAACGATGATAAATCTACAGGAATCAGGACTGATCTCCATCACGGAGGCTTACCAGCGTAGCAGACGGTTCCTTTCTTATTTCGACATTTCTCGTTGTTCCACTTGGCTGAATCCGTCTCCCTCTTGATGTAAATCTCCACACAGTCCTGACCTGCGATGTTATCGGGCTCTGACGTGGCCCAGTTTTGGGCCTCCTCTGGCACGTTCTGATTGCTTCCCGCCCAGGTCCAGGCTCCAGCCACTTTGTGAATCCCTATCCAGTAATATTTGGGGTTGGACGGCAGCAGCTTGTTGAGGAACTCGGTCTCCTCCCGGTTCTGGATGCCGACCATGTCGGTGAAATGCTTCTGGCACCACTGACGGGCCTCCAGCCATCTCTGGTTTGGACCGGTGCTGTAGTTGTACGTCCAGGCCTGCGCTCCTCCTGGAAGACGGTGTTTGGCAGTAAAATATATGTAAATCTGTGAAGAAGAAGCGTTGGCTTTGGGGCTGTGGAGACTTACCGTGAGCAAACACAATCAGCGCAGCGATCAGCAGCTTCTGTCCGGAACCGGCCGACATCTGGACGGTAGAAACGTGAAGCGCACATGAGAGTGGAAGTGAAGAGATCATTTGCAAAAGCAGATACCTCCATTTCTCTAGATGTTCACAAAACTTTTGTTGTCTGCTTGAGATGAAATCAGTCAAACTGAAGCGGAGCGGCTCTGACCCAGTAGAACCAGTAGAACCAGTAGAAACAACAGAGATAATGAAGGCTGACAGGTGCTGCCTCAGCGAGACGATGGAGCAGCAGCTCCATGAAGGTCTGTGGACATGCAGGGATCTGCTTCTGCAAATGAACTCTTCACACACAGTCAATAAACAG